TTAAACTGCAGTGTCTCTGTATGCTGGTTTGTGTGTTCTCCACACAACTCTCACAACACTTCGCTGAACGTACTCGCTCTTCCAACGGGGAGCTTACCTAACACCATGTTTTCCCAAAAATAAGACAGGGTCTTATTTTCTCCTGACCCCCAAAATAAGCACTTGGCCTTATTTTCGGGAAGATCTTATTATTTTTGAAGGGCAGGAGGTGGCGAGCGTGATCACTTCATGGCTGCTGCTGTGCTGCAATATTTTCAGGGAGGGTTTATTTTCAGGGGAGGGCTTATGTTAGCTCATGCACTCAAAAGCCCGAATGGACTTATTATCCAGGGAGGTCTTATTTTCAGGGAAACAGGGTAGCTTTCTATCAAATTTTCTCTGAGTGGATATGGTAATAAAAGTAAAACCAACAAAGTGTTAAAAATATTATATATAAAACAGAATGCATATTACGCATTATATGGATAACATCTTTAAATTCAATCTCTCAATTATAAAGTCTTCCCATTTCAGAGATTAGGAGACAAGAGCAAAAAACAAGCTGTTCTTTCTTTTTTCAGATCAGTTTACCTGGTGAGCAAAGAACATGTTGTTGACAATGTCATCATCAATCACTGATGTCTCATCTACCAAAGTAGAAACTTTCCGTCGGGACCGACGTTCTTCAATCCATTTGAAAAGGAAGATAAATCCATACACAGGTCTGAAAAGAACAATTCTGCAATATGTAATCCATCACTTTTGAAGGATAATTCTCTGTTCACAAACATATTCAATGTTCAATAATTCTCTAGTCAGACATTAGTCTGAGAAATTTCTGGGGTAAGCCAACTAATACATTTAGATAACTGAACTGCAACTTTTCTGAGCACAAAGAGTTAGGTGAGGATTTTTAGAATTATAATATAAAACATTTTAGTTTGTTTTTCTTTTATTCAATTTAGGCACTATCTAATTCCAGACTGACTCTAGGTGACTGAATATAAAACAAAGACAAAATATGAAATGAAACAGGAAAGAAAAGAAATTGTTGATGAATTTGGCCAACACTCACACAAACGGACATATCCAACAGGGCCTCCAACTACCTTAGCTCAACACCTAGGAGAACAGCTAGGTCTTTAAGGTTTTCCAAAATGCCCTTATGGAGGAGCCTATAGATCTCAGGGGCAACCACATTCCAAAGGGCTGGTGCTGAGAAAGAGAAGGCACGTTTCCTGGGTCTGATGAATGACATTGTTTAATCAAAGGGATTCCAAACACACAAACCCTGTTGGTTCCTACATCTGGAAAAACATCACAGGGAATAGGCCCTATGCTATGTAGGGCTTTATGGTCTTGTTTCATAACTAGCATCTTGGAAGAATTCTGATGAAAATGCAATCAATGCAAAATGCAAAAATCACATTTATCTGACAGAAATGGAATAATTTCCAAAACATTCCAACATCTCCATTATTATTCATACATTTTGGACTGTGTCATTACTTCAGAAGGATACTTTGCTTTTTTCTAGCTAGTATAACAGCCAAAATCTTACCCTTGGCATTTGCTCTGTAGATCATAAATTTCTTCAACTTGTACTCCCTTAACACCTATATAAACATAAACCTTGAGTCAGTATACCAAAAAAAAGCAAGAACTGATTAATATTCTATCATATGATTATACTCACCAAAATCTTCTACTAAGAGTGTGAAGAGCCCTGTAATGTGGGGGGGGGGGACAGGGGAAAGAAGATTGTTAGGTTATTATTTGGAAAATACTAGTTATAAAATTAGTTTGGGGCTTATAATTCACTCTAATCAATCTACTGCAAGCACCAATGCAAAATCAAGATTATAAATTCTACAGGACATCTTCATAAAAACATTTAAGTAAGCCCTGATTCATTTCCCACTTGCATAATCAAAACAAGCTCCATAAATAACTATCTGAGATAAAAACAACTCAAGAAATATTTCAATTACTGACAAAATGCAAGCTTCCCTCACTCACCCACCCACCCCAATTTTATCACCTGGTCCTAAAAAGCAGATAATGCAAGCCCCACTTTCTTGTGAGGTACCTGGGATGAGGGTTAAAAACCAGCCTTTAAAATGAGATACTTCAACACATAGCATATTCTCCAACGTATCTATCCTACTATAATTTCCAAAACTAGCCAAAAAGTGTTATTTCAGTGGGCATTTGGCCTGTAGAATAGCTTAATTTATTCATAAAATGTATTGGCCACCCATCTTATCATAAGGCAATGTATGAGATGTTCTGACACAATACTTCACTGGTATATTAATTATTTGTATTTATTCTGTTATTGCTCCCTTCTTTTATCTTTTTGTTATTCCCTCAGAGTCCATAAGGATTGGGTGGGGCTATAATTGCAGTTAAACAAATACTGAATTTCTTTTGTGAGCTGTTATATAGTGGAGCAGCACACATCTTGTATCATGACAGATGCAACTCCTGTATCACCTAAGTCAGACTACATTAATAAAGTTAACACAACCTTGGCTGCCTTCAGGTTATGTCAGGTGATGTGGTGAGTCCTGATCTCAAAAACAGCCTAAACATGCAGGGAAAAGGACAAAGGATGATGTATACTCTAGAGTCAAGAAAATAGTAGCACTTTCCCTTACAACTGATGCTCTCCCCCTGCCAGCATATATGATAGGATGGGAGCTTGATTAGAATATGTATAAGGAATCTTATCAGATCAAATATATGTACATATTTTCCAAACCTGAAGCTTTATTATTATACTATTTATAGTACTTTGCAGAGAAGTGTACAGGGACATTTTCAAAGTGAATGGAAATCAGTCATTTCTAAGAAAATTATATTAAGTGAGTTACGGCCCATTGTATGACCTTTCTTGCACCAGTTGTTAAGTGAATCAATATGGTTGTTAAATGAATCTGAGTTCTGCATTGACTTTGCTTATCCGAAGGTTTCAAAACGTGATCACATGACCATGGACACTACAACCGTCATAAATACATGCCAGTTGCCAAGTGTTCAAATTTTGATCACATGACCATAGAAATGCTGCAATGGCTGTGGGAAAACTAGTCACAAGTCACTTTTTCAATAAGTACTACCAAATCCCTTACTTCTAGAAAGTGAAATATAGTTGTGACCTAGGAGTTATTGTTTTAGGAGGGCCTAGCTGGCACTAAAGTATTACCAAAGCAAGATAATTTCATTTTAATTTTAAAAAATATTTAATGTCATGTCTTTTGTGAAGTAATGATTTGCAACTTGAAGAATGATTCCATGACCCGTCAAAAGCGCGGACGGCAAAAGCGCGATCGACAAAATCGCGCCTTTGACGTCATCACAGCGCGACGAAAAAGATCGAAAAATTCAAATAAAAATTAATAAAAATTAAATTAAAGCAAGCCGATTCACATAAAGGTAAGGGTTAGGGTTAGGTTAAGGGTTAGGGTTAGCTTTATAGCGTTAGCGTTAGGGTTAGGTTAAGGGTTAGCGTTAGGTTTTTCGTTACTTTAACGGTTAGGTTTAGGGTTAGGTTAAGAGTTAGGTTTAGGGTTAGGTTTAGGGTTAGGTTTGGGGGGCTTAGGGTAAGGTTTTCGCTTTATTTTTACATTTTTCGAACTTTTTCGTCGAGCTGTGATGACATCACAGCGCGCTTTTGTCGAGCGCGATTTTGTCCTACGTGCTTTTGTGGTGGAACCAATGATTCAGATACACAACATCATGGTCAAATCTGATGTAGAAAAGGAGAATGACCAGAGGCATTGGAGCTGTCTATTCCTATATTGTCAATATTGGATCAGCTGGGGGGGGGGGGAGGAATCTGCCACATAATCCTCAGCTTACTTTCTGAGCCAATTCAGCATAGGTCAAGAATAAAGTCACTCAACTGTACCATATCTAAATTAGTATCCAAATCTGCCTAGCTCAGATGATGGCCCTTATACGACTCTTACGTCGAGAAGAAAGTAAGATGCTTGTGTAAGATAATGGAGAAATATAATAAACGGTTAAATTTTACCAATGCAATGTAGGTTCACCGACAAATGCGCGCTCGACAAAAGCGCGCTGACAAAACCGCGGCAAGAAAACAGCGAGGACGAAATCGCGGCCACAGACGCACGCCGATAAATGCGCGCTGACGAAAGCGTGCCATCAACAAACAACGTAATACCCTAACCCTAACCCTTACCTTAACCCTAATCATGCTTTCGTCGGCGCACATTTATCGGCGCGCGTCTGTGGGCGCAATTTCGTCCTCGCTGTTTTCTCGGCGCGGTTTTGTCGGCGCAATTTTGACGTGCGCGCATTTGACGGGTCATGTGCAATGTATACTCGTGTTATGGTATTATTATTGTCTTTAACAATAACATAGAGCTGTTTCTATGTAAAGTATTTATTTCCAACAGTCTTGACTAACGATCCCGATCACCATTTTCAAATAAAAACATCTGTGCACTTTATAAAAATTACTTTGAAAGTATTATTTACCTTTAAATGCATTTAAGAAATTATTTTCACTATTGAATAGTATGCCTCTGGTTATCTTATCACATTTCTATTAGGATAAAACAGACAGGTGGGCCTAAACCAAGGTGCTCACAGAGGTCAAACAGGTACACCTTTCAAACACACAATGCAGCCCACTTAATTGTGATCCACAATTCCTTTGGAAGGAAGACAAACATCAAACGAATGGCTAGATTCAATCATTTGTCTGAATTACAGACAAATAGAATAGAATAGAAATTTTTATTGGGCAAGTGTGATTGGACACCCAAGGTCTTTGGTGCCTACACTTTCAATGTACATAAAAGATATGTTTGTCACGAATCATAATGTACAACATTTAATCATAGTCATAGGGTAAAAATAAGCAATCCAATCATACTAGGAAACAATCAATATAAATCGTAAGGATACAAGCAACAAAGTTACAGTCCTGCAGTCATAAGTGGGAGGAGATGAGTGATAGTAGCGATGAGAAGACTAATAGTAATGCACCCTTAGTGAATGGTTTGACAGTGGTGAGGGAATTATTTGTTTAGCAGAGTGATGGTGTTTGGGGAAAAAACTGTTCTTGTGTCCAGTTGTTTTGGTGTGCAGTGCTTTACAGCGTCATGACCCTCTTTTTGACTCGTGCAGTGGAGAGGTCCTATGTATATTGCCATATACTATATGAATGCATATATGTAATATCCCATATGTGTAGATCCTATACATGTTGTCATCGTCTGGGGAAGAAGCAAGCCTGCCCACCTTAGTCCATTGCACAACACCAAGAGGAGGAACCACAATTTCCAAACATTAACAACAGGACTCACTCTCCCTCCCTCTCTCCCCCAAATCCTAGGCAAACCTCCTCGTAACTTCGCAGGGAGACCGCCACCCACTCGGGAGCAGGTCGGAGGTTCCCCCCGTTGGCCCAGCGGCTCCTTCCCCAAGTGGGATCGCTGGAGCCCGGAAGGCGGTAACGGTGCTGCTTGCACACACAGCCACACCCTGTCGGTAGGTGCCCCGCCCCACCGCCTCCCCCCTCGCCCCTCCACCGGGAAGCCCCTCCGCCGCCCCCCTCCAGAGACCAACCCCCCCCTCCTCCTCCCGAGTTCGCAGGGGCGCCTTCACTTACCGGGGTCGCTCTCCAGCTCCAGCCAGCCCTTATTCATCTTCCCCCTAGTCAGGCCTCAACGCCATGACGGTTCCCGGGCGCCCGGAGGGGAACCATACCTCCGGGTTTCCCCGGGAACATCCGGTCCGCGCTTACAGTCCGGCCTCCCTGGTCAGCCGGGAAGGAGGAGTGACCCGAAATAGCCAGGACAGCGGGGCGGGGGGGTGGGGGCTTAGGGAGACCGGGGGGGGAGGAGGAGGAGGGGGAGGAGCAATGGCAGGAGGGCGGCGGCATCGGGCTGCGCGCGCAGCAACGCGAGGCCCAAAGGGCGGCTCTTCCTCCCCGCGGTCGTCTCTCGGAGAAAACTTTAGCTAAGCGCTGCCTCCGGATTGGTACGGAAAAGGAAAGAGGGGCGGGATCAGCACATTGTAAACGCTGGAATGGGCGCGCGACTGTCTGGGACGGCCGCTTGTATTTGATAGGTTTCTGTTGGGGTGACGTTTTGTTCGTTACAGCCTGAACTGTATTTTTATACGGCAAACGATTCGTAAAATAGTTTTTAAACACCACGGTAGATTTCGTGGTATGAAAGCGTCGAAGCGGGGTTTTATGTTGTTAAAAAGAGACTTGCTCGTATCACGGTACCTGCTTTGGCTCGCAGAGAGACCTATGGTTTCATACTGCAAGTACTGATTTACTCCGGTGATATTTAATTTCGTAGCGCAAACTCTAATTAACTGACACCGGGGACTCCGTGTTGCCAACAATTTTTTAGATGAGAGTTTGGAAATTTTGTTTCTTGGTAATGCCACTCGCAGAGACTTGATTTGATGCCACAAGCCAAGTTGAGCTAGCTCAGATTTTGGATTAATGTAAACAAACGCTTTTTCAAGTGACACAGACTGGTTAGAACAAAACCCTTGCAAGTTTATATATAGTTATCTAATACAAATATTTGTGCATCTCTGCATCTTTGTGTGTGTGCCTGCGCACCCCTGTGTGTGTATAATACATTTATTTGTCTTATGCTTTACACTTTCTGCACTTGTGTAAATGAGTCCCATATTTCCATATATATATAGATACATATACATACACATATACAAGTTCTACAATAGGCAAACCACTATCGGTAGCAAATGTACTCAAATCTTCAATCCAGAAGTTAATACTTGATTATAGATAGGCTTCATTTTATTTATTTATTCATTTATTTCCTGCGTTTTTTATTTTTACAGATAACTCAAGGTGACAAACATCCAAACATCTTCCTCCTTATATTTTCTCCATAACAACAATCCTGTAAGGTGGCCCAGCTTTAATGGCTAACATGGGACAAGAGCTTCAGATTCTGAAAATCAAATCCTTCCTCATTAATTGGTAATTGCATTTTCTGTAAAGATAATCTCGGAATTGAAGAAGCCCATTAAAAAGCCCATTAAAATGTTTAAAAAGTATTTCTGAAAATGTTTTCCAGATATTTGATATATTTCATAATACAAATTAATATTCATTTTGAGAGCAAATATGTTTTCCCAAAGGGTGGGATTTAATGGCGCCCCACTACAGGTAGTCCTCAGCTTATGTCCAATTTTGAGCCCAAAATTTCCACTGCTAAGCAAGACAGTTGTTAAATAAGTTTTACCCCATGGTCGTGGGTAAACTAGTCACAAGTAACTTTTTCAGTGCCGCTGTAACTGAAAAGTCACTAAAACAAACTGTTCTAAATTGAAACGTCAAAAATGCAAAATTAAAAAGATTATGTGAGGAGCAGGTTTTGAACTACGTAAGAACAATATCAATATTTTTGCAGTTTTCTGAGATCTCCAGACCTGATGACACCACTGAGTCTTGAGTGAGTTGACTGGCTGGAGAGTTGAGTATTGATTGGTCATCTACAGTGGGTGATATTAAGACAGGGCTAGGTGGAATGGCTCTCCAGCTAGTATATGAAACAGCGTTAGAACTATAGCCATTTCATAGGATTTGTGCACAAACACACACAAACTTTCCCTGCTGTTTATCAACTTCTGGACAGTACCCATATAATATTTTTGCTCTAGTTTATGACCAACATTCCCATCTTGCTGCTGAATTGTTTTTAAAGAGGAAGTAGAAGAAGGTAGCAATCACACTCTTTGCCTGTGGGAGCATATGGGGCTGGCAGATGTTCTTTGGAAGAACTTTTTCAACAGATGAAGGAAAAATGGAAAACAAAAACATAATAATGATTCTCACACCAGCTGTCTGGACCTGGGAATTTTGGTGCACTATTTCTTGTGCTTTTGAGCAGGGCAGAATAACATTTTTCTAATGTAGTTAGTAATAGGAGTTTTAGCTGGATAGTGGCTACACAGGAAAGTGGTATCCATGCATGGCTCTGATGCAGTAAGAGAAACGTATCTTTGAACCCATTCACAATGCACAAGAGGAAGATGTAAACAGGTTTGATAAGGATCCAAAGCCATGAAGGTTGAGGAAAAGCTGAATATGAACCCAAGCATAATTAAGACAGCTGGCATGGCACTCTAACATCAATATTCAGGACAAAAATAGAGAATATCTGTAGCCATATCTCAGGCCCTCTCAGTTATGCAGTTACATAATGGCATTATGCTCTGTTCTTTACAGACCCTACATCTTTATGCTTCCAGTTCTGAAGAGCATCTATGGAAGGCTCACTTGTTTGAATATTATGGGCGACCCAGCAGTGTTCCTTTAACACCTAGATGATGGAGCCAAGTCAAACCTGGTGGCTTTCTGGCCACAGAATAAGTAAGACATTTACTTTATGATCATCATCGAAGCATGTTTTTTTTTAAATAGTAACAAACGTGGAGACATTTAGTTGTAAAATACACTAAGAACTATGTCCGCAAGCATTAACTGTATCTTTGCCAGCAGGAAGCATAGCTATCAATGAGGCTGCTATTATTTTCCATTCTAACCATCAAGTCGGAGAGAAAGAAACTTGTCTTTGATGCTGTCATCCTGTAGTAGACCAAACTATTTGGGAATGATCACTGCTCAGCGTCCTGCCAATATTGTGGAAAAGTTGTGAGGGAGGGTGCATAAAACTGGCATGAAAACAAGAGAAGCGATAAAATAAAGTCAGAAATGCTGTGGGGAAGATCAAGTTGGTCTTTTCACTCATGGCTGACTTTTTTTGTGTCCAAACATCCATAAATACATATTTACATGAGCCAACTGTATATAATATTTGTGTATGTAGGACCTACTAGTTTTCTCTTTAGGAACCTTAGAAACCATAGCATCACATCACATGGGTTTTAAGAAATGAACAGAATACTAAAAATCAACAGCCTAGTAATGTGCATTGGTTCTAAGGCAACATTATGGTATTTCAAGGATGGGTCTCTCCTAATATCCTGCCCCAGGGTCCCCCTGGTTTTATTCCCATTTTTTTATTTTCTCAAGTCTGGAATTTTAATGCATAATCCACCAATCATTTGTAATTCTGAGTTACAATTCACAGCTGACTAAGTACTGGGAAAAGAAGTAATAAAGCTGGGAAGAATCACTTCCACAAGTATCTTGTCCTTTCTTACTGGAGACAGTAAATAAATTATTTCCACCTATTCTGCAACCTACTTATACAAAAACATAGATGTGTAATTTGAAGTAATCAGTCTTGATTTTTTCCATCAGGGATTAATGAAAAGAGTAATTATAATGTTTAAATCTAGTTTTGAGAATTGATCCAGGTGGGGCTGTAGCATTTTATAAAATGCTCCACTTTTTGTTAATATAGGTGTGAATGTGGATGTTTAAACAAAATTCTTCAGGCAACTGAGAAGTTGAAAACAGTACAAAACATACACAAAATATAAATCAGTGAGAAGAACCTTAATAGCTTTGGGTTAAAGTGCTTTTAAGAAGGAGTTGGTTCTACGAATACTGAAAAATGAAGTTCTGCAGTGCACTTGACTCACTGGAGAAGAGCCTAATGCTGGGAAAGACTGAGGGCAAAAGAAGAAAGGGACGACAGAGAATGAGGTGGCAGGATGGAGTCACTGAAGCAGTCAGCGTGAACTTAAATGGACTCCAGAGGATGATAGAAGACAGGAAGGCCTGGAGGAACGTTGTCCATGGGGTTGTGATGGGTCAGACACGACTTCTCAACTAACAATGCACTTAACTATTCAAGAACCATTGCTCCATTCAGTTAATTTGGAGAGCTATTGAGCAGACTCCAAACTTTTATGGGCACAATTGCTTTTTCATATATAAAATACAATTTTATTAAACTTTTTAAAGTATAAAATACAAATGAAAAGGAAAGTAGTGGGAAAATTGGAAAGGGGGGAAAAGGGAAAGAGAAGTGTAGGATGATGGGAGGGGGAAGAAAAAAGCATTAACCTTGGACTTTTTTCAACGCAGTAGAATGAACATAATAAAGTTACAGCCTCAACTTTTTTACTTTTTATACTTGGTATATAATTGCCATTTCTATAACAAAAAACAAACAATCCCAAAACCATTGTCTAATCAGTAAATCCCAAAGTCAACAATTTTTTTCTGCCTCAAGCAAAAATCCAGAAGTTATTTCCAGATAGAGATGTATTCTTTTCTTTGATTAAAGCATTTAATTTGGCCCTCTCTGCTAGTTCCATCAGTTTCTCCAAACATTCTTCCATTGTGGAAATTAATATATCTTTCCATTTTTGTGTATAAAGCTTTCTCTTTGCTGTCAGGATCCTTTATGGACACAGTTGTAAAGAAAATGAGATTGTGTTTGGAAAGCCTCCGTCCCACTCCAGGAAATTGATTATTTGGAGTCTTTTTAGATGAGTTACTATCTTGGGTATGGTACTGAGTTCAAACTAATCACACTTTCTAGTTCACAGGTCCCCAAATGGTGAGCATGCATGCAAGCAGCTCCATTTGCACATACAGCAGGCGAGTGTGTGCACACAGCTCCATTTGTGCGAGTGGTGTGCGTGCATGCTCATGTGGAATTTAACTCTGGGTCTTCTTTTATCACTCGGTTGTCTTTGATACTATGAATCATACTAAACGTCTGGATTTTCTCTGAGGGATTGAGAATGAGGAAGAGTATTTTTCAGTGATTCTCCTCTTCCTTCCAGACTAGTTGCTGGGTTCTAGTTGCTAGAAGGCTGAGTTTTTTTCAACTTAGCGTTTAGTTTCCGCATGAAGTCCCTGAACAAAGTTATTCAGTGACACAATGTCAAGTACCAATCAGTAAGCTAATGAAACTCAGCTGTACAACCTTACCATGGGCAGAGTAGGATACATGGTCAAAGTGCTGTCTGATTGCCAAGAGGCTTTTAGTGTTTGGATGGGGAAGAACAGACTCAGGCTCAATTCCAACACCACTGAGTAGCTTTTGGTTTTTGCCAGGTATATTTCACTGTTGGTTCTGTATAGGATCAAATCCACTGGTTTGGAACAGTTCACAGTCTAATGGTTCCCTTGAATTCACAACTCAGCTCACTCTTAAATTCTGCCCACTCCTAAAAGACCCCAACAGTAAAGACTGTAATGATGAAACTGTTCAAGCCAATCTCTTTAACACATTTTTCGGCTCAGTCTTTGTAAACAGCAATGGCTCATGCCCCACATTTCCCAGTCGTATCACAGCTAATCACAACGATCTAATACATATCGATTTTACAGAAGAAAACTTTGAAAAGGCACTATGCAGCCTAAAACCATCTCTAACTATTGGACCTGATGGGCTATGTGCCTACTTCTTAAAGAAGCTTTCCACTGCCATAGCAGAATCTCTAAGCATAATCTTTCAAAAACCTTTCAGGACCAGCTCCTTGCCCAACCTATGGTCACTAGCCATGGTCATCCCTATCTTCAAAAAGGGAGACCCCAGCCTAGTTGAAAATTACAGACCAATCTCTTTGTGTTGTGTCAAATGCAAAGTCATGGAATCAATCATAAACCCAGTGTTTTTCAACCTTTTTGGTGCAAAGGCACACTTTTTTCATGAAAAAAATCATGAGGCACACCACCATTAGAAAATGTTAAAAAAATTTAACTCTGTGCCTATATTGACTATATATAAAGTAATTTTCCCACGGCACACCTTACACTATGTCACGGCACACTAGTGTGCCGCGGCACAGTGGTTGAAAAACACTGATAAACCAATCCATCCAGAGGACCTTTCCACAACTTTATATTGCATACCAGTAATAACTATTCCTGGATCAGAAAGGCCTATTCACAATAACTCATGCCTTGATCACCTCTTAAGTAGATTATGCATTGCAATGTGTTTTGCATAGGGAAGGTTTTGAAGACGCCCCGGTCTACAACTGATTGAGAACACTTAAGGAATTATAGCTGCTTTCTCTTTCACTCCACGTAACATAACTCCTTTAAGAGTTGCATTGGTTGCCAGTGAACTTTTGTGTACAAGTAGTCTTTGACTTACAACTACAATTAGGACCAGAACTTCCATTAGTAAGTGAAATAGTAAATTTCATCCAGTTTTATAACTTTTTTTTGCCATGATGGTTAAACGAATCATTGTGGTTCTTAATTAGATCATGTAGTTGTTAAGCAAATTCAATTTCCGTCACTGACTGCTTGTTGGAAGCCTTTTGGGAAGGTCAGAAAAAGTGATCACATAGGCCTGGAATGTTGCAACCATGGGAAATACATATCTATTGCCAAGCACCTGAATGTTGATCATTTAACAGGGTTTTTGTTATGGTCATATGTGTGAGGACTGGTTGTATGTAACTTTTTGAGCAGTTGCTAAACAAATGATTATAAGCCAAGGACTACTTGTACAATTAAAGATTGCTAAATGTTACCTTTAAGGTTCTAAATTATAAGAGACTTCAGCATTTACTACAACTAGTTTGTTCTAGCTATTGCAGTAGGCTGAGCATCAGTTAATCACAATAGCAGTATCACCAAAGACCGCATGATGGCACTCTCATCAACATTTATGTCCAAGCATCCAAGCACTTAAGTGTTCTAATGCCTTTGCTGTTTAACACATTTGTGCTCCAAGATTACTTGTCAAAAAGATGCTTTGGTTCAAAAGACAAATTCCAAATGCATATAAGAGTCATGCATTTAAAACAGAAAAGTGTTCACTTTGGTATTTTTGCAGAACTAAATTCCCAAAGATTAAACACATTAATGTAGGTTACTTAGCAACCAAACTGAATTGGTTTGCCATTCCTTTTTCAGGGATTTTTTTTAAAGTCTAACCTACAGGCATTTCCTGATGTTTTCCTATCCAATTATTAGGCCAAATAGCTTTTCAAGATGAGCCAATGCCAGGTGCTGCTATCTGCCAATAAGCTTCATAAAATTCAACAGTGAAGAAGCAGTTACTCTTATCATTTATCAAGGAATTTTGGATGATTCCCAAATGAAGCCAACTTCATGCTCCAGAAAATAACTCCCCAACCACTGATATCTATCCAAAACCTTTTATTCTGTTTGTGAGCTGATGTAGGGCCCTGGATCATTTGATTGATTTTTCTGGCAACAAATGCAGTGTGGAATTTCAACTGTACAATAGAAAATGACATTTTTTTCCAGTTTGATAAGCATTTTGTTCAATGGATCCAAGGCAAATCCAGTTCACCGAGATGCAATATCTTAAACTGTTTTATATGAGCTTATTGGCTTTTGTGTTTCTCTCTCCTGACATTAGGTGGATTTGAAATGGGGATGTTTTAAAGAATGAGTCGTTATCTATAAAAACCTTGAAATCAAATCTTAATTCATAGGACTGTCTCTTTCAGCTACTGTAGAAA